GAAGCAGATAACAGAATTAATTATAAACCAGAATCCAGCAATATGTTGTAAACAAGAGATACACTTGGAACAGAAACACACACACAGAGCTAAAATAAAGCTAGAGCAGAATACATTATGCTTTATCTGAAGTAAAAAAAGACAGGGATAGCAATCATCTCAGACAAAGCAAAAGCAAAAAATAGACCTAATTAAGTGAAATAATCAGGGAAATCACATTTTGCCAAAAGGTACCATAAATAATGAATATCAAAATTTTTATTGCAAATTTCTCTGATAAAAGCCTAAATTCTCAAATACATGGAGAACTGAGTAAACATTATAAAAATAAAAGCCATTACCTAATTGATAAATGTCAAAGGATATGAAAAGGCAGTTTTCAGAAGAAGAAGTCAAAGCTATCTATAGCCATATAAAATACTCTAAATCACTATTGATTGTCACAAATGATAAATGCTGGAGGGAATGAAGGAAAATAAGTATATTAATGAATGGTTGGTAGAATAGTGAACTAATCCAATCACTCTGGAAAAGAATCTGAAACTATGCCCAAAGGGCTATAAAACTGTATACGCTTTGATTCAGTAATACCACTACTAGTCTTGTACCCCAAAGAGATCAAAGAAAAAGGAAAATGACCTATATGTACAAAAATATTTATAGCAACTTTTTTGGTGGTAGCAAAGAACTGGAAATTGAGAGGATGCTAATCAGTTGGGGAATGGCTGAACAAGTTATGGCATAGGATTGTGATTGAGAATTATTGTGCGGTATGAAATGAGGAAGGGGGTGGTTTCAGAACAAACATGGCAAGACTTATACGAACTGATGCAAAATGAAGGAAGAAGAACCGGGACATCATTGTGCACAGTAACAGTCCCTGTTGTAATAATGATCACCTGAAAGACATAGCTACTCTTATCAAGACAATGATCCAAGACAATTCCAAAGGACTCATGATGAAAAATGCCATCCACCTGCAGAGAGAACTGATGAACTCTGAGTGCAAACAGAAGTAAAATTTTCTGACTTCCTTTTTTTTTTTCTTTCTGCTTTTCTTCTTGGGATATGGCTGACATGGAATTGTGTTTTGCATGATTTCACATGTACAATTGATGTCATATGGCTCGCCTTCTCTGTGGGTGGGAGAGGATTTGGAGGGAGGGAATCTGGGACTCAGAATTTAAAAAGAAAAGAATATTTAAAATAAATCAATAAATGATGAAAAAAAAGAAAATAGAGGACATTCACCATGAGCTCTTTCTCAACCCCATCTTGACATCATCCCTTCCTTTATGTATGTGTCTGATGAGGAGGTAACTTTTATGCTCACCAAGATCAGCCTTTTTTACATTTGCCCTTGATCCCATCCTATCCTTTCTTCTCCAAAAGATCCCACAGTCACCCCTCATTTTGATCTTTGATCTCTCCCCAGCAACTTCTTCTTGCCCTGCTGCCTATAAATACACCCACGTTTCTGCCATCATTGAAAAGCAAAGAAACCAAAACCTCTCACCAGATCCTATCTTCCTCTCAAAGCATCCTATCATATCTTTCTTCTTTTTTCCAGCCAAACTACTATAAAAAGCTGTCTGCATGCATTGCCTCCATCTCCTTTCCTCTCAGTCTTCAACCCTTTGCAATTGGTCTTCCAACTTCATTACTCAGCTGAAACTGCTTCCTCCAAAGTTACTAATGATCTCTTAATTTCCAAATTGAATAGCCTCATCTCAATACACAACCTTCATTCTGTAGCCTTTGATAAGAGAGAGAGAGAGAGAGAAAGAGAGAGAGAGATACAGAGAGACAGAGAGAGAGACAGAGAGAGACAAAGAGAGAAACAGAGACAGAGAGATGATTCTCTGTTAATTCTCCTCTTATTTACCTTTCTGACTGCTTCTTCTCAGTCTCCTTTGCTGGTTCATCATCCATATCATGCCTCCTAACTATGGGTGTCCCCCAAAGTTCTTTCTTAGTCCCTCTTCTCTCCATATATATTTTGTCACTGTGTGGTCTCATTAGATGGGTTAAATTAAAATTTCTTTGCAGATGACTCCCAGATCTACTTACCAAGCCATAACCTCTCTCCTAAACTCCAATCTGATATCACCAATTGCTTATTAAACATTTAGACCTGGACATCACAAAGATATCTCAAATTCACCAGACAATCTTCTCACCTTCTCTGTTCCCCCAATGCATTCTTCCTCCAAATTCTCTCTCGCAGTTGAGGGTACTGCTACCCTCATCTCCCAAGGTTGCACCATTGGGGCTAGTCTTTACACCTCACTCTCCCTGACTCCATATATCCAATAAGTTGCCAAACCTTGCAGGTTCTTTGTCCACCTTTCTCTCATCCAGCTCTTTTCTTCTATTTATACAGCCACCACCCTATTTCAGGCTCATCATTTCTCACCCGGACTGTTGCAATCAGTAACATTTAATATTTAATGTTTAATATTTAACAGCTGGTTTTCCAAAAAAAGGTATGCATGACACACTCTTAAGTTTAATTAGTATCATTAACATTTTCTCTATCACTGTCTTAGGTCTAGACAATCAACAAAGCAAATCAAGCTTGGTCTGTAGTATTTGCCAATTTCCAAAGTAAATGCTCAGACTGAAACATTTAACAATTGGCTCTTGATAGCTGGCAGCTAGGTGGCCCAGTAAATACAGTGTTGGCTCTGGAGTCAGGAGGACCTGAGTTCAAATCTGCCCTCAGACACTTACTAGCTGTGTGACCCTGGACAAGTCACTTAACCCTATTTGCCTCAGCTTCCTCATCTGTAAAATGGACCTGGAGAAGAAATGGCAAACCACTCCAGTATCTTTGCCAAGAAAATCCCAAATGGGGTCATGAAGGGTTGGACATGACCACTTGACAGAATATCTTGATAACTGATACAAGCTAGTTCCAGCACACTCCTGGTTGCTATGGTCTCCTAACTGATCTTCCTACCCCTTCTCTCTCCCCTTTCTAATTCATCTTCCACATGGCTATCAAAGTGATTTTCCTAAAGCTCAGATCTGACCATGTCACTTCCCTACTCAGGAAACCCCTGTGGCTCCCTGTTCCTTCTAGGATCAAATATAAACACCTTTCTTGGCATGTAAAACCCTTCACAACTTGGTCCCAACCTACCTTTCCAGCCTAATTCTACATCACTTTGCTTCTTGTGTTCTATGGTCTGGCCAAACTGACCTCACTCTTCCTCACATATGAAGATCCAGCTCCCATCTTTTGGCCTTACTCTTCCTCCTCAGCACCTCTTACAATCCCTTGCTTCTTTTAAGACTCAGCTCAAGTATCCTCTACATGAAGCCTTTCCTGGTCTCTCAGACTCCCTGTGTCCTCCCTCCAAAAGTGGTTTTGTATCTATTTTGTGTGTATTCTGCCTATATTTGTTGTACCCATTGTCTCCCCCAATAGAAGGTGACCTCTTTGGAGGCAGGGACAGTTTCATTTTTGTCTTTATGTCACAAGCTTGTAACCCAGTGACTGACATGGAGTGGGTTCTTGATGAATTCTTGCTGATCAATTAATGAATGAAAATCTTGCTGATTTAATTAATTAATTAAAGATTCTTCACCATCATGGCTGCCCTCTTCTGGATTTCCTCTCGCTTATATATGACCTATCTAACATGTGGCACCTGGAACTGAATGTAGTTCTCTATCTAAATCTATTTTTGACTCAGTTTACTTCTCTGTAAAGTGGTGGAGTTGGACTATGTGGCCTTTAATATCCCTTCCAACTTTAACATTTTATGAATTCTGGCTTTTAAAGTCTCTTCCAACTCTGCCATTTTATGTTCTAATGTCATTCCAAGCTGACTTTTTATGTTCTAAGCCCCATCTCAGGTATAACACTGTATGTTCAAGGTCCTTCCTAACTGACATTTTGTCTTCCAAGGTCCTTCCCAGCTCTGATAATCTCTCTTCTAATATTCCTCCAGTTCTGACTTTACACGTTCTAAGGTTTCCTCCAGCTCTTATATTTTACGTTCTAAGGGCCTTCCTAACCATAACATTTTTTGTGTTCTAAGGTCCTTCCCAGTTCTGACATGCTATGCTGTAATGTTCCTACCATCCCTGATGATCTATATTCCAAGATTCCCTCCAGCTTATACTTTCTGTTCTAAGGTTCCTCCCATCTTTGATGATCTATTTAAGTATCTCTCCAGCTTTGACATTCTATGTTCTAAGGTCCCTCCAAGTTCTGACCTTCTCTGTTCTAATATTCCTCCCACTTCTGACATTGTCTATTCTAAGATCATTCTTAGCTCTGACACTATATGTTCTAAGGCAGGGGTGGGGAACCTGCAGCCTTGAGGCCACATGTGGCCCTCTAGGTCCTCAGTCAAAGGCCACACTTGAGGACCCAGAAGTATACAGGTTCCCCACTCCTGTTAAGGTGTGTCTCAGGTCTGACATGCTATGTTTTAAGATTTCCTCTGTGCTCTGATAATGTTTTCTAAGACCCTTCCTTGCTCTGAAATTCATGTTCTAAGGTCTCTTCCAGCTCTGACATTCTATGTTATATGGTTTAATATTTAGTATTTGGAGGACCTTTCCAGATTTAACATTCTAAGATCTAGGTCCTTTTCAGATCTAAATATGCACTCTGTGACCAAGCTGGACTTGTAATTTTCAGGCCTGTGTTGTTTGTTCCATCATTATTCTGTCTTTGAAGACCTCAGTGGTAGGTGTCACTATCCAAGGAAGACCAATTTGGAGAGTTGGAGAAATCTTTCCATAAGTCTAGGATAAAAGGTAAACAGAGTCCATCTGTTTACAATAAGAGACTGACACTGAGAATAAGCTATGACTTTCATGCCCAGAAGCCTGAGAGAAATCAGGCAGCATGCCTACTAAAAATCAGCCTAATCAGGTTATTGAACATCAGGGGACAGACCTTTGATAACCTGAGTGGGTCAATAGGGCATTTAAGGAAGATCGGGTCCGTTTGGAAAGGACAGGAAAAGAAGTCTGCTTACCTTTCCATTGTGAAGTGGACCACACAAGAGATGGTGATGATCACAAGGCCAATGATGATTGATGCAATAGCAACCCACTTGGCGTTTCGGCCCAATCTCTTTGACCCTTCTATGTCACCTTGGTTAAAGCTGTTTAGAGACTGCAGGACAGAAAGGGAGAGCTGGTGACGATAGGGCATTGATACGGAAATAGGTCCAATGATTCCCAGGGCTAAGACTGTTTTGGCAATCAAGTTTCCAAGAATCAGACAGTGGCTTCACCATCTTGAATACCGGTGTACCACTTTCAGTGATGGCCTGATCTCCACTTCTTTGGGCTGCAATTTTCTTATCTGTGAAATGGGAATAATAAAGCCTATCTCGAGAACATGGGTATTGTGAAGCTCCATGAGGCAATATGTATAAATATACTTCATAAACTTTAAAGTTCTATTAAGCATCAGCTATTATTATTATTGTTGTTGTCATTGTAACTATCATCTCACTTTCCTCTTTTTTTTTTGGTGGGACTCAAATACAAATAGTTCTAGGAGAAGTCACTCTCTACTCTTTTATATCTAATATTCTGCAGTCTATTGAACAAATGGGCCAAATGAATTCTTTTTGTAAGTGAATGCCAGAATTGGAATGCAAGCTCATGGAAAGTGTCTTCCAGTGGTGGATGGGATAATAAAGATGACATGTACCTTGTCCTTTTCCAGCATGGTATTGATTTCTTGCAGTAGTTTTCTACATTTTGAAAATTTTTTATAGAGCTTGGAGATTATGGGTATTCAATATGGTGGCCTCTTTTTAAAACATCATTCTGAAATTTTATGGATCAATGTTTTTCCTGGGATGTTGTGGGCAATGATTCTCTTTACTATGGTGTTCTTGTTTCAGTACAGTTCATTTGCTGGATTCTCAAGGATATTTTAGGATTTGTATTTGTAGTATAGAGCTTTGGTGTGTGTTAGTTCATAAAGGAGAGTAAACTTCTGATATAGAATTCTAGCCACCTGATTGGGTCTTTATAGCATCTGGCAAGTGCTAAATTTTTACAGTCTGCAGTCCACAACTTCACCCCATAATTCATTGCATTGATAAATAAGGGGCTAGACAAGGGCCTAAGGATAGATAATCTTTCTGTAATTTCAGGTCCCACTGACAACCCTAATAAAGTGCATATCTCAGCTATTTATTTATCTGATGCTTCTTTATTGATGTATTGTTGAATGAATTAATGTGGATGTTGCCTACATAGAACCTTTTGATTCCTCTGGGATCTCAGCCATTCCAGACACTGTGTCCAGAGATGGACCACTTTCAGTGGTACTTGACAAATCCAGTGGCATATTATACCTGTTGTCAGTCTTTGCTACTGTCTTCTGCTGGGAGGTCTATTGGTTTCAAAGTTATTTCAAAGGTATTTGAACATGGAATAAAAATTTAAACTCTTGCATGTTGAGCCCCTCTATTTACGCTTTTCCTACTTTTTGACTAGGGAGTATTAATCTTTCTGTAACTATCTTGAAGTGATGAACCCTGTATTTCATTAATATCTGCTTTTGACTCTCAAGACTTTACCACCATGCCACCATTCCCCATCTTGGGTACCATTCCTTCTCTCTCTCTGCTTTTAGTTTCCTTTTGTGTGTTATCTTAACCCCCATTAAAATGTAAGCTCCTTGAGGGTAAAGGCTGTCTTTTTGCTTATATTTACATCTCCAGTACTTAGCACAATACCTGGCACATATTAAATAAATGCCTGTTTTTTTTGGGGGGGGAAAGGGAGGGACATCATCTAGATTTGTTGTCTGTTTTACCATATCAAGGGTATAAATCATGTGGATTAATTGCTTTAAATATGTCCTTCCTGTTAATCTGATATCAGGATCTCTCTCTCTCTCTCTCTCTCTCTCTCTCTCTCTCTCTCTCTCTCTCTCTCTCTCTCTCAGCAATCAGGGCTAAGTGACTTGTCCAGGGTCACAGAGCTAGTAAGTGCCTGAGGCCAGATTTGAACTCAAGTCCTCCTGACTCCAGGGTTGGTTCTGTATCTACTGTGTCACCTAGCTGTCCCAGGATGTTAGTGTCTTAACATACACAAGACTTAGCTTTTTCCTTGGCAACTTTAGGTATGATGTATCTGGGCTAGAGGGAAAAGACAAGGCATTGCCTTTATCTATTGGTTCAATTTGACTTCTGCATTTAAGCACAAAGCATTTGGTCTCTATTCTTCCTTGGTGCTCACTAAACATTTTATACTAATTTAGTCCAAGTGAGATTTTGGTATCATTGGATAAAGTTTCCATGGGATAAAGTATCTCTTTATTGTATGACCTGATAATGTTCTCCATCTACATCAAGAGATTAATGTGATTAATTCAGTTTTGGTGTGACTTTCTCTTTGAATTGAAAGAAGTATTCATTCAGTTCTATGTCGTTGTTCAGTTCTTTTTCAGTCATGTCCAACTCTTCATCACCTCATTTGGGGTTTTCTTGGCAAAGGTATTGGAATGATTTGCCATTTCCTTCTCCAATTCATTTTACAGATGAGGAAACTCAGGTAAGCAGGGTGAAGTGACTTGCCCAGGGTCACATAGCTAGTAAGTGTCTGAGTCCAGATTTAAACTCAGAAAGATGAGTCTTCCTGGCTCCAGGCCTGGTGCTCGGTCCACTAGCTAGCTGCCCATCCAGTTCCATACATACATATGTATATGTATACGTATGTGTGTATGTGTATACATACACACACATATAATACAAGGCTAGGCAGAACCACAGTTGTGGGCTTAAATTCTCTTTTTGGAAGATGCCATATTTTACATCAATTGGTCAACATTATTGTAATGTTGAAGTGTTTTAAATAGAGTAAAGTTTTATATGTGGACATAAAAAATCAGTCTCTTGCATTATCAATAACCGTAGTTCTATTTTGTATATTTGCAATATATGTATAAACCATGAGTGAGGAACAGAGTCAAAAAGGTTAAAGTAGTCAATAAAGGCAGTTTAAATGTCACAGCCCTTTCTGGAGGCTCGCTTAATTATAACTAACTTGATTACGAATTGCTGAAATTACCTCCTGGGACTTTTGGCCACCCATCACCAACATATAGGTATCTTGTGTTTATAGATTTTTTTTTGAGTAAAACAAGCTGTGAATGTTCCATGTAAAGTACACCCACATGTAATTGGCCTGCATTTGGAGGAGTTACTGGTGTTCTCATCTTTTAGTAATAAATATGTGATGCTTTCAGTTAAGAGAGACACAATCTGACTTGTATTAGAGGAAACTGACAAATTGCCTTGCTAGTAATTTGTATGCCACAGTGAAGCATTTGAGCCAATAATTGTGGATCTTATCTGACCTTGGCCCTTTTGAGTTCTGCAGAAAACTAGAATTTTAGTCACTTCCTTTAATGGAGCAGTTCTCATTCATCACATCAGTGGGTCACAAGCTCTCTCTGTCTGTCTGTCTGTCTGTCTGTCTCTCTCCCTGCCTCATTCTGTCTCTGTCTCATTCTCTGTCTCTTTGTCTCCGTCTCATTTTCTGTCTCTATGTCTCTGCCTCTCTTCCCTCCCCCTCCTCTCTCTTTCATTTGGTTATAGAGCCTTTCTGGTATAGTTTTAGATTGACATTGAGCTGTTTACATTGTCCTTTATACTGTTTTGACTCCTTGGCAGCTATATGGTGCAGTGGCTAGAATGTTGAGACTAGGGTCAGGAAGACAAGTTCAAATATTGTCTCAGACACTTTCTAGCTGTGTGAATCTGTTTGCCTCAGTTTCTCAACTGTAGAATGTGGCTAATAACAGCACCTATCTCACAGGGCTGTTGTGAGGATCAGGTGTGATAATATTTGTAAAGCACCTGGTACGTAGTAGGTGATATACCAATGCTTATTCCCTTCTGTTTAACACTTTTAAATACTGTGAGAGAATATGCATGTTCATGAAGGGAAGGGAATGGAATGATAGCTATAACAGAGAGCAGCTTTTTTACATTACTCTTTTGGTGCAGAACCATAGATTTAGATTTGGAAAGGACCTTAGAGGCCAATGCATCCTATGCCTTCATTTTGCAAATGAGGGAACTGAGACATAGAGAGACGTTAAGGGACTTGACCTTAACACAGTAAGTCACTGTTAGTCACACAGTTAGTAAGGATTCCAAGTCAGGTCTTCCAGACTCCAAGGACAGACAGCATTCTAGCCATAGAATCTGCATCAAGTAGAATTTGTGTATTAGTTGGATTCATGCTGTTTAACTCAAAAAGGGCTTTGTGAAATTCTATTTTAAATGTCTATTTTCCCTTCAAAATCATTTAAGACTAGGATGATTTTGGCCACCCATTTCATTATTAGATGCGTCAGGAATTGTGATAAGTGTAGATTGTCAATAGCATTAGGTTTTTCAGCTTTTCCAACTTCAGATTTCAGGAACTCTTCAATTTCCATCCTTATTTCATTTTGTTTGGGTTTAGGAATGAATTTAGGATTTTTTATAATTCCCCTGCATTGGTAAGCAATATATTGTGTAACTTGCAACTGAATATGTTGTTGACAAAAAGCTCCACATGGTCCTTGCCTACAAGTGGCATGCTTGGTTTCCAAATTTGTGGGAATGAATTCCCAGCACTTGATAAAAGTATCCAGATCTTCAGCACATTTCATGCACACTAAAGATTTTAGTACTTGAAAGATCAGTGCCATCTGAACCAAAACACCTCCCCAAATGGGGTCATGAAGAGTTGGACATGACTGAAAATGACTGAATAACAATGAAGAAAGACAAGAGGCAGAGACAAGGAGGGAAAGCATTCCAGACAAGGGGACAGCCAGGAAAAAAATGTATTGAGATGAGAAATGGAGTGTCACGTGCAAGGAACAGCAAAGATGCATAAAGGGGAGTAAGGTGTAAGAGGACTGGAAAGGTGGGAGGGGCTTAGGTTGGGAAGGGCTTTGAATGCCAAACAGAGCATTTTGTATTTGCTCCTAGAGGCAATAGGGAGTTTATTGAGTAAGCAAATGAAATGGTCGGACATGCACTTTAGGAAGATTACTTTGGCAATTGAGTAGAAGATGGACTGGAGTGGGGAGAAACCTGAGGCAGGGAGGCCAACCAGGCTGTTTTAAACTAGTACAGGCATGAGGAGATG